TTTTCCCCCAAATTTTTCAGACAATTTTGTACGCAATTCAATCTAAAATATCTGAAAATTCCAAAGAAAAATATGCATGAATGTCGTCAAAAATGCTTGTTTTACCAAGGGAAATTTGGCAACGCCTGGAGGCTCATACGACGTTTTACCTTGGTACGGCAGTATTATGGCGAGACGTCAAACGGTCAAAGAAGCTGGTTTCAATTTTTAATTTTTTGTTTAAGAATTTCCTTTATTTTTTTTCTTATTTTTTTTTTACATGATATCTCAAAGGCAAAAAACTCAAAAGAGACAAGTCCCCACTTGGAAGAGTGTTCTTTCTGGCGTACTAATTTTGCATCATTTTTGACATTGTTTCACACAGGTTTTTGTGTTTATATCTTACAGTACGGAGATAATGATTTATTTTATGATGGTAGTTGACCCCAAACTTATCTACGTCGAGTCCTCACAAATAAGCCGCACCTTTGCTAATAATTGAATTTGAGCAAGTTGAATTTTCATGACTCATATTATTAGCATCTAAATGGACGATATGTGTCCGTCTTCTGAAATTTTAGATGGGATTTAAGTTTAAAGCTTTTTGTTTGGTCATATTTGTAGTTGATGAATTGTTTGTTGGAGACGAATCCATCTATTTTTGTATTCTCAGTCTCAAATTTTTGTTATAATTTAGGAGTCAGCAAATTCTGATGTTGAACTTTATTTTTTGTAATTCTGTTCTTTTTAAGTGTGTGATCACTAATCAGAGAATTTAGAGACTTTAATGAATTTAAAATGATTAAAACTAGTACAAACTATTTTGCACTATTGATTTTTTCCTTTATTTTATCTTATCCTTGTTACTATATTCATTCATTGCCTCCATATTCGTTCATTGTGTCCATAGCATGTAAACGCTCAAATGAGTATGACGAAGTTAAGACATCATGAGGAATGGGTGAGCAAGAGTAGAGGGAATGACGGGTGAAAAAGCAACATAAGGGTGGGTTTGAAAGGGAACGGAAGAGTGGGCAGTAACCGGATAGTAGGTCACATAATATCCAGTATGAAGCCAGACCATAGGCTAAATTAAATGGTAGGTTTACACGAGTGCTCAAATTGTCTTTTGATGTGGTCGTTACGGCTGGAGAGAGCTCGCAGTTGCTATGTCGGTATGTTGACAAAATGGGGTCGGATCTATTGGGTTTTGCATGGTTCGACGAGCAATCTGACAATCCGGGGATGTTTCGGAGCTTGACCAGACCACAAGATGGGGCCGGAATTGCCACTTTCTTCTCCTCGGCCACTGTGTATCTCGCCTGGTGTGACGCGGCATTCTCTTTGGTGGAGGTCTGAAAAACTTTACCATACCTTCGCACTTCAAGGTGACTTGGCAGGAAATGACGCTTGGAATGAGTTGATAAAATATCGCGAGAGAAGTTCCATAATCTCTCTGATCGTCTGCAACATGGGGATTCGAGATGTCTTAACTTCTTAAAAAAGAATTCCAATCGAGAGACCATGAACACTCAGGTGACTCAGGTGCACCCTGCACATACCCTTACAAAGTTACTTAGGTGTTCTTCTTTGTTTAATCAAATGATCTGCTATTTGAATTGCCGCGAGAAGATTTTTTTTTGTTTGTTTTTGAATTAAAAGTGCGAGATGCTTTTCGCGTTACTTAAAATAATGACTATTCCAACTGCTTCAACCAGAATCAGCGAAACAACCCTTGATGTTGTCTATTTCCCTCTCGTATTGTATTTTTTTCATCGGGAAACTTGGCCAAATTCTAACTTGAAATTTTTCGAATAAGTATACTCCTTTTAATCTAAAGAAAATTCATCGAAATTTTTAAAGCATCACGGAAAAAAGAGGTAGGGGTTATGTCCGAACTGTTGGATGGTATGGACATTTCCAATTAATTGTAGTATTACCCCAATTTATTGTGATATTACCCCAATTAATTGTGATACTATCCAATAAATTGAGTTACTAACCTAAATGTTCCGGTACTGTCCCAACTTAAGTTGCGATACTACCAGAATTAATTGGAAATGTCCGTATCATCCAACAAATTGGGGTAGTACCACAATTTTAGGGAATAACCCCTGACACTTTTTTATCCGTAATTTTGCCGGTCAGATTTTTTTGATTATAAAATAAAGCAAAACAGAAAATCAGGAAACGTGAAATGCAGCCAGTAGAATATTGACTATAGCTGCGTATTTATCCCTAATCATATACTTCATTCCATGAAATCATAAGAGTGGCGTAACACGTGACGCCTAAGGCGCGTCGAGCTTCCGGAGGTTGGACCGCGAGGCACGCAGGGAGTTTACCCCTAGTTGTAATTTATTCCTCACCCTGTCTGGTTGTCCTCACTTTAAAAATATATTCGGTCTTTATATTTTGAACGGTAAAATAAGAGTGGACATGCAGAAAAGTCGTAGTGCACCGGAGATATGTATTTTTATAGTATCACCATAAATATGCATTCACATAAATTTATGCGGGGCACGTTGCTTGCAATGCGCCAAATGTAACAAACTACCGGCTGCTGATGAAAATGAACCGCGTTCGTTGCCAAAACTGTTCACGGAGGGCCTCTAAGTTCCATCCAACCCTTTACCCCTCCCATCCGTTAATTCCCACTGCGCTGGCATTTCACCTCCAGATTTTTCCGGGTTTCCTCCAGTTCCAAATGCAGTCGAACGGAAGTTCATTTTTAGAACTTCTTGGCGCCAACGGCTTCATCACTCGTCTTGTTTCGCTAATCTCGTTTCGGAAGTGCAAACACGGTGAAAAACAATTGGCAGAAAACCGTAGAGTTTAGGTAGAGGTAGAACTGTGACTCACAGTCTGTGAGCAACTACTTAAATATCATTCTCGAAATCTCTCAGAGCAGGTACCGTGATGTCAGCAGTAGTATCGCAGATTGTGACTATGGCGCAACCGCAGCTCAGCCATGGCGTGGCGTCCCTGCGATATATCGATTGATCTACCATTTAAACCAATGGAAAAGAATCGATAAACATGATGTTTGCAACAAACTCCTTAATAGTAGATTCTTTATCACAGCTTCAAATGGGGAAGTATCGTAATCGACCATTCACGCCTCGCCTCTGCAGCTTAGCCCGATAGAAAAGACATAGCCTGATAGAAAAGACAATTCTCACGGGAAAAATTCTGCAATATAAAGTTAGAAATAGGTCTTTGGAAGGAATTACAATGATTAACTACTGAAAAAAGAACAAAGTTAGGAAGAAAAATTATTGCTGGTTTTGTAAATTTTAGGGTAGATTCGCACCTACCTTAAAGTTTGTCAAAATCGGAATTTTTTTTTCCATACATTGTAATTTTTTTCAGTGGCAAACCATTGTCCCCTCTTGCAAATATCCATTTCCAAAGTTATAATGCTGAATTTTACTCGATTCGGAAAAAAGAGAAGTAGGGGTTGTTGAATAATATGGAAATTTTCAATTCATTCCGGTAGTGCCCCAATTAACTAGGTTACTAACCCAAACGTTGCGGTAATATCGCAATTAATTTGAACTGCTCATATCATCCGGCAAATTGGGTTACACGAACCGAACTTTCGGTTCGTGTCCAATTTTTTGTCCTTACACCTGGTTCTTTTAGTAGTTCATGTCCACGCGTTTTTTCGGCAGGGGAGTTTGTGCCGTAGTACCTTGATTTATTTTGCGAGGAAAGCTTCGTACTCTCAAAGGACGCCCATTATTCTTAAAATGTTAGAGTGCCTTCGATTTCGTTTGATACCGTGCAACACCTCTGTTGTGAATTAGTTGCTTGAGGCGCCGTGGCACGCTGCGCAGTGCGGCACGGCTGGCCAGCTCCCAACGCGCATTGACGCCTACAAACCTAAGGGGATACTTCAAGCATTGCGCAATGCGTAAAGTATCCCCTTAAGTTTGTAGGTGTTAGTGCGCGTCTCGTGCCGCGCCGCTGGTAGCACGCCGCGCGTCGCTCCGCTCTATGTTTGGCTGTAATATTTAAAATCGCGGAGTCGGCGTTTTGCAGCTCATGATTTTGAAATTTTTGCACACCCTGCATGAATTTACCTCATTTAAATTGATGAAAAAAAATATGTATTAAAGGAAAATATAAAATGTGTTTTGTAAATATTAAGGTGGTTCCGTGTCAAATTTAATGATTCCCAAAGCCTTTTAATTTTTTCTTTTATATTTTGTGCATTTACTGTGCTGCAGTGTGGTGTACGCGCGACCAAACGCTCAAAATTAGACGTATTTGATTCTAAAAGATCGATGCACGTACGGGTCAAAACTAATGACTGTGTGCTTCTTGGTTTTTCCCCTTTTTTATTCAATTTTGTATAGTTTCTTTCAACACAACTCTTATTTTACGCGTGGACGTAAACTACTGAACAAAACAGGTGCGCGGACAAAAAATCGTTGACGGAATGTCCTGAAACCCATACGAGCCGAACGTTCGGTTACACGAACCGAATAGTTTGGATTATATGGAACACCGAACGTTCGCACTGAAAGAAAAATTCTCGGCGTTTTTACCAAGGTCCGTTGGTACCTTTACCATCTCAATTTTTTTTACCAATTATTGGTAATTTTACCAGGACAGACTGGTAAGCTTACCTAAAAACCGGTATTTTTACTGTTTTTTCAGGTAAAAATACCACTTTTATTGGTAATCAATTCCCGGTAACTTTGCCATTTTATCCCGATAATTTTACCACAGTCGATAAAAAATATTGGCATTTTTACCAAGGTCCAGTAAAATTACCGAGAAAGTTCAACAATTTTACCGAGATTTCTCGGTAAAATTACCAATTCCATAAATGGTACTTTTACCAAGAAAAAACTGGGATCAAATAAAACCCTGAATTCTTGGTAATTTTACCCTTTTCTTAGTAAATACACCGAGATTTTTTTTTTTCAGTGGCGGTTCATATGACCGAACTTTTTTTTCATTGTACCACTCTAAAAAATTGGAGAAATATTATGTAAGGTGAAATATCTTACTTTCGCATATCTTTGAGCGAGGACCTCCTGCTGGACGTCGGGTCCTTGGCGTGGCCGGGGACCTCGTGTGTGCGGAAGACGCTCTTGCTCTTGGCCCTAGCGAAGTCGTGGCGGAGACACTTCTTGGAGGAGTTGCGGCGCATGTGCGAGGTCGTGTTCCCGTTGAGGGTGACCGCGGGGGCCTGGTGCGCCCCTCCCGCGACGCCGGGGGGCGGCCCCACGGTCAGCGTGAACCCCTCGGTCCCGCTCGAGTACATCCCGCCCGGCGAGACGTTGCCCGAGGACGTCGAGCCGCGCCGACTCGACGTCGTCACGTAGTCGTCGATCGTCAGGAACCCGTGGTTCACGAGCCACTTGTTGATCGACGACAGCTCCATCTTCCGGATGAAGTAGTCGACGCTCTGCTCGGCATGTTTGTCCAGCCAGTCCTCCACTTCGCTGAAGCTCAGCTGCGTCATTTTGAAAGCTCACTCCTTCCGACGTGTTGGTCCCTCCGTAGGCAGCATCCTAGATACCAGCTCACGCATTCATTTTCCTTCGAGAACTTATCACTTTATCCAACGCGAATGATAACCAAGCGAAAAGCGCAAGTGTAGAAAATAGCCTCTCTTAATTGGGTCTCTTATTAATTTCGCCCGATTGATTTCAGGGCATTGTTTCGTTTTTTAATATATTCGCGTGTCCAGAGATCTCTTCGATGCAGAGCGTAGCTTGGTTTGTTTTATCTCAGAACTAAACTGTGTCAAAGAAGTCGCGAAATAATTTTTGACACTAATACCGTCCTATTTCCTATCACTTTTTAAACTTGCAGGAAAGTTTCAATTCAACCTTTGATGCGAGTAGAATAGGTAATTGGCTCATGTGAAAGTCGAATAAACACACTCTTCTCACTGAGGGTACTGAGGAATAGCCTTCCAAAAACGCACTCCGAAATAATGGGATCGTGTTGAAAGTTCTTGGGATCACAAATCATCTTCACCCACGCAATGGCCGATCAAGTCAAGAATAGACAAAGGTCAAGGTAAATGGTGCGATTTTTATAGATTTAAGCAAGATTCAAAATTCTAGACAATTCACGCGAAATAAGATAATTTTGAAGGCTCCTTGCCGACAAAAAACAGCTTGATGACCGTATTACCCATAGAATCGTTTCACCAACTGGATCCCTAAAACTCGCGTTGATGCCGATTGTAATCTTGAGTTTCGAAATTCCTTGTCTCGATACACCTGGAACACACAAAAAAACCTCAAGTTAACTTCTGATGTTAATAGTTCCAACTGCAATTATGGTATTATCAAGCTGTCTGAACAGCAGCGCCGGATTAAGATTGGTGTTGGCCCCCAAAAATCCGTCTCACAATCATGCTTTGAAAACGTAAGTTTGCGTTTAGGGTAGGCACTGAGGTAATTCTGGAGGATATTCAAGGAATTAAAAATGTTTGTGTTAAATGAATGAAAAATTGTGGCTAAAAACACGTGCCCCGCGGGTTGTACGGGGCCAATGCAACGAGCCTTACATACAGGTCTACAAATACATCAGAAAAAATAATCAAAAAGAATCAGACATCAAATTGCAGAAAATCTAGTGTCAGCACAGCCGAAGATGAGATAGACGTAATCCGGTGTCGTTTTTTAAATTTTCTCCCGAATCTGAGCGACACTTAATTGGGAGCATAGAGCGGACCATTGCGGGTTCACGCCTCGCGCCATCGCGCCTTCAATTATGCGGACGCAACACGGACATCCATCTAGTACGAATAGTTGTATCTCTGCGCCGTCATCAACACGCGTCCTCTCCCGTGCTCTATTTCCATGTTGTGGGTTGTTTCCGGTTGGATCCGTTACCTTATGTGTAGGAGCACGTTGACCGAATGGATGAAGGGAGAAAAGCAAAAATTTGTATGACCTGACAACCCTAAGCTCATAGATTACTTGGATGACCGCTCAATACAGGGTGGCCCAGACCTACCGTACCAGGCCTTTTTTTCGGTTTATTAGGGTCGCACGAAGTCCAAGATCGCGGGAATGAATAGGGAATCGACCCCAAGGAATCCGAATTTCATAGTCCCAGAGCCCCCCTGGCATCCCTTGGGGGGTAAAAGGGGGATCCGTACTTCAAAAGTCAGGGTTTATGTCAAAATTTTGAAATTATTCAATCGGAATCAGAACGTTCGGAAATTTTTAACTTGAATCGACACCAAGAAATCCAAATTCGGTCCATCCGTGTCCAAAATACCGACCCCTAAAGTCGGGGGACTGAGCCCCCTTTAAGAAAAATTCAAGTTCGTCAAATTGACGTAAAGACTCAGAAAAAATGTGTATTCATGGGTAATCGACCCCAAGGAGTCCAAAATTGAGAGTCCCGTTGTCCTGAGAGACTTTTCTGATGGGGCACAGGGGGACTCTGAACTTTTAAATTTAACTGGGTAGAGGTTACCCCTGTGTCCCATCAGAAAAGTCTCTGAGAACAACGGGACTCTCAATTTTGGACTCCTTGGGGTCGATTACCCATGAATACACATTTTTTCTGAGTCTCCACGTCAATTTGACGAACTTGAATTTTTCTTAAAGGGGGCTCAGTCCCCCGACTTTAGGGGTCGGTATTTTGGACACGGATGGGCCGATTTTGGATTTGTTGGTGTCGATTCAAGTTAAAAATTTCCGTACGTTCTGATTCCGATGATATAATTTCAAAATTTTGACATGAACCCTGACTTTTGCAGTACGGACCCCCCTTTTACCCCCCAAGGGGTGCCAGGGGGGCTCTGGGAGTTCTGGGACCATGAAATTCGGATTCCTTGGGGTTGATTCCCTATTCATCCCCGCGATCTTGGACTTCGTGCGACCCAAATTAACCGAAAAAAAGGCCTGGTACGGTAGGTCTGGGCCACCCTGTATACGGCCACAAACTGTAAAAAAGGCTGTCTTCTAAGGATTATTAAATATTTCATTGCTGTTTTTGTCTTATTGATTTGACGAGCCCTTTATATTTACCGATTTTATGTTTTCATGATATTTAAGACTAAATGTGCTTGGCACTAGATGGCCTGACAATCGGTATCGGTATTCGTAGAAGAAGACTGCCGAAATGGGTGGCGTGCTTTGCGATATGACGATTTATCTGCCATTTGAACCGATGGAAATTGATCGATTAGCAGAGTGTCCGCAACGAGCACCTTCATAATCGATTCTTTACCATACCTTCAAATGGGTAAATATCAATAATCGATCACTGACACCTCGCCATTGGATATGAGGCTTAGTAAGGAAAGGAGCTTTTAAGAAAACGACTAAAAATGGACGTATTTATGCTAAAAGGAAGTGCGTGCAAGTGGAAAGATGGGGTGTGCTCGTGGAAGCTGCATAATAAACAATTCAAAAGTGGATATAGTTCCTTATGAGAAAATAGAAAATCGGGATTTGACATTAAATTAAGAGGAACTGAGCGCTAACTCGTGAGCCGTGGGCATGTGACAAGAGCGTTGTAGACAAGGCTCATGAGTTAAAGAGTCCCGCCAACAATCTCCCCGTCGTGCGGCTCTCGTTCGTTGCCGCTGACGTCACTGGCGCCTCTAAATTCCCATTCATTCTTAAGACCCTCAGCTAACGAGCACACCCCATCTTTCCACTTGCACATAGTTCCTTTTAGCATAAATACGTCCAAATACGACCCCCAGTGTGACAAATAGTAATTATTTGAAAGTTAACGACAAATCTGGCCGGTAGCAAGGCACCCAGCCAGTGATTCAATTACCCACATTTACGCGTTCATAATAAGATTTAAATGAGGGGACGTGGGTCTACGTCGTGCGAATTACGATACCTTTGTCTGTGCATCAGTGAGTCGTAACGGGGTCGCTCGGAGCTCCATCGGAATGGAGCGTAGTCGCGAGAGCCGGAACATCCCACTAATTTGCATGACAATGAAACCGTTTTAATTTAATGTACACATGTGCAAACCCCGGAGAGTCGGGCTCGTTTGACAGATAATCCGATATTCCGCGTCATTTATTCCTCGCGGTTCCGCCGCCATGTCTGAAATGATTTGTATAATTGCCGTTACCGCTTTTATTAACGGCTGAACCGATGCCCCGAACAGTCTGAACTGTCTCTTCAGCCTTGATTTGCATTATAAAATCAACCGCTAATCGCTCTAATTAACCACGGCAAGGTCGGGCTTCATTTTTAGTGGATGTAATTCAGCTCAACCAAACCAACGATCTCCTTTTCGAAAATTTGGTTTCAGAATAAAAAGAGACTTATCCAAGCTAGACTGCCGTACTAAGTAGAAAATGTTAATGAATTTGCTTCGTACTGTGCAGAAAACGCACAGTTTGTGCAAAAATCCGCACAACCGTTTTCATTTAAAAAATTAAATTGTCCGATTAAATTTGGCAACAGCTAATATGGCTTGGTTCCTTTCTGCTTAACGCAGTCAATTTATTGAAAACTTCCTTGCTTCCCCTTCACTCTCATCAGAATATCGACAGTAAAACCACCAGACCACGTATCTCGTTTGCGGGGTTTAAAAATCTCCGATCCCATTATAGTTTTTTTTTTTTTAAAGAGAGCAGATCAGAATCATTTCTTTAGAGTTTCACAGAGTTTTCTTCGAGCAGAGAAGAAAAATCACGGAAGGTTTTTAAGAATCGACGTTGACTAGTTTTTTTTAAAAAAGAAAGTATGTGGCAAGAAGTCTGCAAACCGAGAAACGTGGTCTGGTAGTTTGACCGTCGATATTATGTAACAATTTTAAGCTGTATATGATTAGTTTCTTTCCGTTCGAGAAAATAAAATAGGAACGAAATTTTTGAAACACCGCGATGGAGATACGTGGTCTCGAACTTTGGCCATATGTTTTATTTTTATTTGGGCATAATTTCTAATTATCGACCCCGATGAGAGGTGCGCATCGCGCCGAAAGCCATCGGTTGTGGAAGCGATAAAAACCGAAGCGCCTTCATTTTTGTGCAAGCAACACGCACATTCAGTGAACACGAAAAGTTGCATGCAGACGCCTTGACGAAAAGTCCTCTGGACATGCTGCCTGCCGTGCTAAGCAAGAACGCCGTAAATTCATCAGGATTTTCCCTCGTTTTTTGGAAATTAACACTTTATAAAATAGCAACTGTCTTACCGATGCCCCTCAAATTTCCAAGTTAAGTTCTTGATAGTATTTGCGAAAAAATTTTGTAATAACATTGTCTCAGGGTACTTACATAAGTTTTTCTGCAATGACACATTGTTTCCAAAAAATGTAAAATAGCGTTTACAGCGTTTTTGCGTGGCACGGCAGCGGTAGTCTACTTTTTTATACAACAATTTGATGGAATTATGCAACACTGGCGTCAATGCTTTCACGTGAAGATTCATCATCTCGTGAATTTGCCTCTTTTCTCGGATGAAGTAATGGTTCTGTGGGTGAGGCACCCTTGTCTCAGCTTGAGCCTGAATTATTTGTCCCGAAGACAATACAATTTTTCCCTCTGAGCTCCGCAAGTCTCGTTTGTGTATAAATAATTCAATTTTATATTATGCAAAGCCACTTTCATTCGCATTCATGGCGAGATGGTCGTGCATCCGTCTGTAGCGCCGACTCATCTCGCTGTTAAACGATGTATTTATGTGGATGAAAGTAATTCGGTTTGAACTAGTTTCGCTGAATCGTCGCACTGGATGCCATTTAAAATGTTCACAGTCCCTGTCCCTGTTATTGCATGTAAATAGTCACAAAAAGGACAACGACCCCAAATTACTGATCAAATCCCCCTGAATGACAGTCTCTGCTCATAAAAGGATTCACTATAAGCATTACATTTTAGTTGAAAGCGTATTCTGAATCACATTAAAGAGAAAAAAAACAAGAAGGGAAATGAGTCGGAAGTTTTTAAACGCCATAAAGTGCGGGTTTGAGTCTACCAAATAATTTTCATGTCTTTTATTAATACTACAATCAATCAATCTAGGTGGCCAAAACTATTTAGGCCAAAACCTACCACCTTTCTTTACTTAAAAGCATCGCGACTCTTTTAGTATAGGTTAGATGTTTTTGAAAAGTAGACATTAATGATAATTTTGTAAATAAAGCAGGCAAATGAAGTGTAGTATTTTAATTCGTCTTTCTTTAATCATTCAAAATTGTATGAATACTAGGAGGCTATCTCCCCTAGCCGCCACGCGGCCCAACCCCCAAAGGACGCTTCGCGCTAAGACACTGTACGTACGAA